CTCATTGTGATCTTTTAATAAATGAAAGTGCCTTTCTAAAAGGAAATCAAACACAAATCCTTTTATAAAAATTACTGGTCATTTTTTCTAATTGCCAAAGTAATACAAATTTGCTAAAGAAATGTTAGAAAATGCAGATAAGTAAAAGCAAGTGGAAGCCAAAACTCTGGAACTGAATTAGGGCCACACTGAAAATGGTACATTTTGATCACTCTAATAACATGCTGGCCCCTTGGCCACTTTGGTCCTGAAGGACGCACTCTGACTGTCATAATGTGAGCAGGAAATAAATCAAGAGAAGGGCCATCTTGCCCATTTGGGGCAGCTTCATGTAAAAGAACCATTTGAATCTCTCAGCACCCAGTGGGTGCAGTCCCCAGAGGAAATGGCTAACTCCATGATGTGATGGGTGGGGAGCTGGACCGGGCTCCCTGCCCAGACCTCCCAGTCCTCAGCTTGTTGCACAGCCTGGTAGCCCAACTTAGTGACACTCATTTCCTCTGGACCTTAAGGGCTTTGCAATTTTCCCGTCTCCCCTGTGCAAATGCAAAGATGACTCCCTTGGTTAGTAGAGGATTTAAAATTATCAGCGAAGACTTTAACTGGAACTTGTTTCAGAGATGGGGGACATGGGTTCTGTGGCTAGTTAGCTAGCTTGGGCAAGTCCCTTCCCCTCCCTGGGCCTTCCTTGGTTTCCCCATGTGAACGAGGAAGCAGTTGGACTGGATTTGGTGAGCCACGATTCCTGTTTTCTACAGGAGGGAAGAAGGGAGAGGATTCAGTTACTGAGCATCTGCCAGGCCCAAGCACCATGCTGAGCACTTTGCCTTTGTGAGCTTATCTAATCCTGACAACAGCACTGTGAGGGAGAGGACATCTGTGTTCCTGCCTGTCTGGGACCCCAGTTATTCTGTTAATGGCACCTTGATTTTCTTTTAAGGAACCGTTTCTCACCCACTCCTAGTTCCAGCGGCTTAGCAGGGGCTGACCCTACCCCTTGACTTCAGACACAGGCATGCGACTCAGGCTTAGCCAACCAAAACAACTATAATGGTTTCAGGACTGGACATGTGATCCAAGCCAAGCCAATTGGAGTCAACCCTGGGATTTTTTGCTGGAAGTATTTGGAAAGATGTGATCGCTTTGCCTTGAGGTTGTTTAGCCATTTCTACCTCCCTGTGGAAAGAGCCAGCCTGCTAATAAAACTGGCACATATGTATAAAATAAAACTCACAGAAAAGAAAACAGAGTCAACACAGAGGGACACAGATTCATGACAATTACCTTTGAGCTTTTGGAAGCATCTGAATCCAGGCCTACCTCCTAAACATTTCCATTTAAGAACTTTATAACCAAAGCTGGTTATAATTGAGTTGTTACCTGCAGTCAAAAGGCTGTGGCCTGTACATTGTTAGTAAGTTGATTATGCTCTCCTGCTCCCTCATCCTTCTTACAGCCTGGGGTACCTCTTGATCGGCAGTTCCAAATGCCACAGCAAAACAACACACACCCTGATTACCAGGGGCTTGAAATCATATCTAAATGCTTGAAATGCTGTCTAAGATGCTAATTTTTCTAAAAGTCGTGAAATTTTTTTTTTTTTTTTTTGGTCTTGCTCTGTGGTCCAGGCTGATGTGCAGTGTTCAATCATATCTCACTGCAGCCTTCATCTCCCAGGTTCAAGCAATCCCCCCACCTGAGCCTCCTGAGTAGCTGGGATTATAGGCTGGTGCCCCCATGCCCAGCTAATTTATTTATTTTTTGCAGAGGCAAGATCTCCCCATGTTGTCCAAGCTAGTCTCAAATTCCTGGGCTCAAGTAATCCTCCCACGTTTGCCTCACCAGTCCTCCTTGGGGATTACAGGGGTGAGCCACCATGTCCAGCCCATCACTAAAATTCTGGGTGTGACACAGGCATTACTATTCTCATTTTACATACAGATGAGGAAACGGAGGCTCAGAGAAGCAAAGTAAACACAGAGCTAGTAAGTGACAGAGCAGGTATTTTTAATCTACTATTTCTTCTCATTACCTTCAGTCTCTACTCAGGGACTGAGGTTGTCCCCTTTTCTGTTTCTTCCACAAAGCACAGAAGTAGGAGTGGGGCTGTGGATCCAGACTGCTCTAGGCTCCAGATCTGGCTCAGCTGCTTCCCACCTTCCTGATCTTGGGAAGACTTACTAGCTGTATACTCTGAGCAAGCTCCTTCATCTCTTTGTGCCTCAGTTTTCTCATCTGCAAAATGGGATGACAATAGTACCTACCTCATGGAATTGTGAGGAATCGATGCATTATTTAATTACGTAAAGCTCTTAAATTGAGCCTGACACACAGTAAGCAGTAAGCATGCGTTAGCTGTTGTTTTTCTGCTGTGGCCTGTACATTGTTAGTAAGTTGATTATGCCCTCCTGCTCCCCCATCCTTCATACAGCCTGGGGTAGCTCCTGATCTGTCAGTTTCAAATGCCACAGCAAAACAACACACACCCTGATTACCAGGGGCTTGAAATTACATCTAACGTGCTGTTTCTAAAAGTGCTGATCACTATGGATTTAGCAGGCCTAAAACTAGCCCAGGAAGTGAAACTTTGGGGAGGAATTCCAAATAACCAAGCCTTTGCTGAAATGCAGAATGGAGAGAGGAGGCATGAAGGTGGACACAGCCTTGGCCAGGCATGGTGGCTCACGCCTGTAATCCCAGCACTTTGGGAGGCTGAGGTGGGCAAATCACGAGGTCAGGAGATTGAGACCATCCTGGCCAACATGGTGAAACCCTGTCTCTAGTAAAAATACAAAAAATTAGCCAGGCGTGGTGGCATGTGCCTGTAGTCCCAGCTACTCTGGAGGCTGAGGCAGGAGAATCCTTTGAACCCAAGAGGTGGAGGTTGCAGTGAGCCGAGATCGCGTCACTGCACTCCAGCATGAATGACACAGGGAGACTGCAGCTCAAAAAAAAAAAAGAAAAAAATAAAAGTGGACACAGCCCTTTCCCAGGTTTCCCCCTGCCCTGCCCCCTTCCCCCCTCCCCCGACTTCACCTCCTGTAAGCCCTGCAGCTGTAGAGAGAGGAAATGTATTTCCTTTCGAGTTTATAACAGTTGCCATACTGAGTGCTAACTGAGTTCCAAAGGGTGCATTAGTCTGGTAAAGTGTAAAATATGGAGGCCCTGGAGAATCACCAGGGACTGGGAGAGGGCTTACGTGGATCTGGGGTGAGTCTTGGCTGTGGGGTTGTGCTAACGTGCAGAGGGCTGGCCAGAAAACCAAATGGGACATCCCTGACCTCTCACATCCATAATGCCCAGAACAGTGACATGGCCTACCATTATCCCAAAGCCAGAGTCCCATACCTCTGGGCAGATAAAGGTCCTTTAATCCCCACCTTGTGGATGGGATCAGTGATCTCTGAGCTACCATTTATGGAGCACTAAGCCCTTTACAGAAATGGCATCATGAAACTTTCCAACAGTCCCACTGAGATGAAGCTATAATGTAACAGGACCTTGGACCGTGGGGCCAGGCTGCATGGGGTGAGTGCTCAGTTCTCCCACATGTGACCTCTGTGCCTTCATTTTCTCATCTGTAAAATAGGGATGATAATAGTTCCTACCTACTAGGACCTATTATTGCTGTGAGGATTAAATGAGTAAGCACCTATAGCACTTAGAAGAACATCTGGCACAATGGCAGCTGTCTATTAACCCCTGTGTTACCGACACGGGCACAATGGCAGCTGTCTTTATTAACCCCCGTGTTACTGACGTGGGCACAATGGTTCCTGACTTTATTAACCCCCATGTTACCTACATGGGTACAATGGCACCTGTCTTTATTAATTCCCCTGTTACCGACATGGGCCCTGAGGCCGGGAAAGGGGACCATCCATCTACCATACTCAGCTTATGAAGCCGGGCCTCAGACCCAGTCCACAACAGTGCTTGTGGGACTGCTCGTACTGGAAGGTGACTAAAATACCCCTCTGACCCCTCACCCTCACACCCTAACCCACCACGTCCCACCTTCTCAAACACCCTCCCCTCCCTGTGAGCTCGGGTCGTCCCTTCGTAAGTGCTGGGCTAAGATCTGAAGCCTTATAACTGTTCAGAGGTTCAAATGGAGTTTTCTAGGAGCCGAGGAGGGAGAAAAAACTCGACCTTTCTCTCCCAGCTCTGGAAAGGAAGGCAGCCAGGAAGAATCCTCAGGCTCCCAGAGCCAGGGACAGAGGTTCCCTGGGACCTGCGGCGGGGCCTCACCCTAACCGCACCCCTCCCCTCACCTCGCTGCCCAAGATGGCACAGGATGCTAATTAAAACACAGCCTATTTTGAAATGCGGACCCATTCATCAGGACGGGCTAGGGAGAAACAAGAAAAGTGTGAGGCTGCAGACCCTGGGTCTCTTCAGTTCCCCACGAAACCTCTAGGGGTGGGGTCTCTATCTGTCAGTCTTGTTCCACCTCTGTCAGACTTTGCCTTTTTCGATTTTGGCGCCCCTAGCAGGAATGAGGGGCACAGGTATCACTATTTGTCTTTTTCAGTCTGCCTGTGTTTGACTCTGCCAACCATCGTTTCCTCTCTATTTCCATCTCTGCCTCTTTGTCTTGATTTATCTGTGTCTGTCGTTTTGTGTGGCTCCAAGTGCGTGGGTGGGGATGAAGTTGTCTCACCAAGGTTCTGACCCTTCTGCCACCTCTCTTTCCAAACCCAAGGAGCCATCCACTGCGCAGATCCCGCGCCTGGGTACCCAGCGGGAGCAGCTCCAAACCTGGGGCGAAAGCCTGGAGAGGGTGTCCGAGTGAGAGGCGTGCCCCTCGCGTCCCCACCCTCCGCGTGGGCGGCCCTGGGCGCGTGGAGCCGGGTGCGGGGGCGCTGCAGGCCCTCAGGTCCCGGGTCCCCGCCTTCCCCGCTGCTTGCGGGTGGGCCCCTAGGCGCGGCTCCTCCTCCTGTGCCCCGCCTCCCCGAGCTCTCCCCTGCGCCCCCGCCGCCGCACCCGAGGCACACCGAGCAGCCTGGCCGCCGCCGCGCCACCAAACTTTCCCGGGAGCCAGCGCCGGTGAGTCGCAGCTGGGCGCCGGCTTGGGCGGGAGCGGGGCCGCGACGGCGGGACGAGGCTGCGCCCTGGGTAGGCTGGGATCTGGGCATCCCTGCGGAGCGGCCGGGACCCCCGGAGCCAGCGGCTTGAGATGGGAGCGCTTGGGTACCCTCGCGACGCGGGTGGCCTGGGTAGGATGGCGAGCGCAGTTCGCTCGGTGGCACCACTCCCCTCTCCGCGTTGTGGCCCCAGAACTCGACAGACAGACACCTTTAGCTTCCCCAGGCTTGGGCAGGGTGCGCACCCCGAGAGTCGGTCTTTGGGCTCCAGCGCGCAGAGAAGGAGCCTTGTTTTCTTTGAGCCTCCTCAGGGTCTGAGTTTGCTGCTAACCCTAGTGCCAGCCCATCGGTTGAGAGCGTTCTCTGTGCCCGGCTTTGGGCATACATTATCTGTTGCAATTCTCCTTGTAACTCGACGAACCGGGTGTTGTTATACTAATGTTACAGAGGAGGAAACTGAAGCTCAGGGAGGCAAAGTTGTGCCCAGGAGCATCAGCTAGTTAAAGGAGAGAGCCAGGTTTTGATCGGAGTCATCCTTACCCAAATCACTTGACTACAGTGGGGTGAGCCCCAGGCTCAGTGTCACCTGGAGTCGGAGGTGGGGAGTGTCCAAACCACCACCCACCCTCCTCCTGCAGTTTGGTGGCAACTGGGGGTGTGGAGCAAAAGGCGGATCACCTCCTCCTCATTGTACTCGAAAGAGGATGCTTTGGGAAAATGAGTGGATATTATGGCCAGGGAGTGGATTCTGGTGACAGAAGCGTACCCAGGCTGCTCTTTTAGAGATCAGATTCTGGAAGTTGCTCTCAGTTTTTCTGGAAGGAGGCCAGGAAGCCAGAAGCAGGAGCCGGAGTACAGCAGCCCCTCAAGGAAGCCACCTCTCCCTCTCTATTACCCCACACCCTAACCCCCAGTCCTCCATGAAGATCCCACGCCTCCCCTCCTCATTCCCTGATCCCTCCGAGATGTCCGCTTGCCTGGGAGCTGGTCATGCAGAGATGTTCCAGGCAGAGTGGCCGTCCTCCAGCAGAGGGCTCCCACCTCAGACTGGAGCAGACAGAAGCGGGCAGCCTGGGAGTCCCAGTGAGCAAGGTTCCCAGGCTGGAAGGTGCCTGAAGATCGCATTTCATGATCGAGGGGCCAGAAACCTGTGACAGAAGCACAGACAGACTGTCCCTGGAACATGACGGAGAGGGGAATTGAGGGTCTTATAGGAAGGGTCTTGGAGACAGCCAAAAACCAGCAGGGACTGGGAGAGAGGGAGGTGGACACACGAGAGCATCATTATACATTATTTCACTTAATACTCACGCCATTCTTGCAAGGTAATTACTATTACTGAACAGATAGTCTACTATGGCTCAGAGAGGTTAAGTGGCTTGCTTAAGATTGCCCAGCTGGCCCATGGCAGAATTGGAGTTTGAACACCCATCTTGCCTGACTCCCTCTAGATTATGAATGAAACTCAGGTGGCAGATGGGACCTTAGGTCCTTCTGTGCTTGCGGCTGGCAGCAGCAGAGGTGAATAGAGGGAAGCCAAGCAGCAGGTCTGCTGTTCACAGGAATCCCGGACAGCCCCATGTAAATCCCCAGTGTGATTCAGGCATTTCTCCTGGGGAGAGTCTATGGAGAAGGGCAGAGGATATCTGGCATTGATTTTGTTTTCAAATGTGACAGAGAATCCCGTGGAGGCAGGAGATGGGCAGGTGCCACCTGTCCATGATTTCAGAGCTGGGTGGAGGCCAGAGTTGCCTGCCAAGTGACCCTGCACCCCAGAGTAGTTTGGCCAATGCTGGGCTGGGAGTGGTCCTTCCTAGCCCTCAGCTGAGTGTCCAAGGGAGGAGGGACTTGTATGTGAGCGTCCTCCTCTTCAGCTGTCTCTGAATTCTGTGTTCGCACTTTCCTCTTCACAGTGCAGTATCTGGCTTTTCCTTAACAGAGAAAACACACACCAAAGACATCAAGAATGTGGGATTCTGAAGTTCACCTGCCTGGATTCAAATCCCAGGACTGTCGCTTATAAGTTTTGTGGCCTTGGTCAAGTTGCTACGTGGCTCTGTTCCTTAGTTTCTCCATTTTTAGAATGCCTTATGCACCAGGACTTTCACAGCTCCTGGGGGTATTTCTGACACCTTCCTCCCTGGGTTGGTAAGAGAATTCGGTGTGTTCATGTGCATAAAGCGCTTGAGTGGTGCCATGTGATACCCGTCATTGTTAAGAGTCAGTTGCTATTACTGTTGCTATTAAGGTCAGACAGTACCAGCTCTGTATCCTGGCTCTGCCACCTGCAAATTGCCCAGCCTCTGCAGGCCTCTTGCCTTCTCATCTGTAAAGTGAGAGTAGGTCTGGTTAGATAGCGTGTGTGCCCCCAAAGTCTTGCTGTGGTCTCCAGCTTTAAATAGGCTGAAACTTGAATTCTTCGTGTAGACCTGTATAAACTTCTGACACTCTGCTAGGCACTCAGCAGGCTTTGGGCATTGTCACGAGGGTCACTCCTGTGGCTGACGTTGCTGCTGCACAGTGCAGCTTGAACTTTGTACTCTGGCTTGCTTCTGAGGAGCATGGATTGGGACAGTTTTCAATCAGATGTTTTCTAGAGGGACAGAGAGCTTAGGGTGGAACCTCAGCTCTGGCCCTTAGAACCGAGTGACCATGGGCTTCGGTTTCCTCATCTGCAAAATGGCCATTAGTTCTATTTGCCAGTGTCTATTTCTCCGGATTAATGTTAGGCTGGAAATGTGGAGAAAAGAAGGAATAAAGCAGATGGTATAAATGGCAAAGAATTACATGCAATTGTAAGTGATTCTCATTAGCATTCAGGCTGGGCATTAGCTCTAATTGCTCCTGATCTAAGATGTTTTATCTGAAAGATGTACCTGGCAGAGGATCATTCAAGCCCCAGTCACCTGCTGCCATCCCTTTCACAGTGACGCTGAGCATTTCTGGATCTTGGGATGTAATTATAATAAAGCTCCCATATCTTATTTATAAGTGACTCACTTCTGCCATTAATGGTTGTGGAGGACTCAGACGCATACTCTTCGGTAACAATGCTGCTGATGCTGTTAGGGCGGGAGCGGGGCAGGATGCCTGCCTCTTTTATGCATTCATCCTCCCTGCTGTAATTCTCCAGTGATAATGTAGGGGGATCACATGGGCCAGGATCAAAGCTGACAGCTCTCAATTTGTGCAGCAGCTTGAATGGCGAGGGCCATTGAGACTTGCTGCTGCCGGAAGAGTGCACGTTAGAAACTATCACATTCCAACAGAGGAATAAGCAAGAGAGGTTGAGGACACTGCCCCCAAGGAGTTCTTAAAAGCACGGACTCGGATTCCAACAGACCTGAATTTGAATCTGAGTTCTGCCCGTGTGTTCATTGAAGTGTGATTTCTGGCTGTTTTTCCAACCATAATGTCAGCTCTAATAGATCAGGGAGCACATTTGTCTTATGCACCAGGACATTCACAGCTCCTAGCACATAGAAGGTATTCTTGAATGTCTACAGAATGGATGACTATGTGAATGACAAATTGCTTAACTGGGCCTCAGCTTTCTCATCTGTAAAATGGGGCTAATATAGCACCCACCTTACAGGTTGCTGTGAGGACTGAATGAAGAAATGTTTTGAACAGAATAAACATTCAGCGATGCCCTTGATGACATACAGATGGGCATAAGCAAGCAAGTTGGCTTAGTCTGGGACATTTAACTTTTTCCCCACCCTTAGACCAACAAGGAGCAAAAATCCTAGTTGTAAGAATGTCCTGTATTTATATGGCACTCTGCAAAGTGCTCTCCTATCCATTAACTTCTAACAGGAAATTATTATCCATGTTTTACAAGAGAATAAACAGATTCAGAGGGGTTGGCAAAATGTCCAAAGTCACAGAGTTTAGAAGCAGCAGAAATTGGAATATAAATCCAGGTTGCTCTGATTTCTAAATACCAGCCATTACACTGAGCTTTCTGTTGCCTTCTAGAGGGTGGAAGGTATCGTATTTAGCCTTTCATGAACATGGTATCTCTCTACTTATTTAGGATATTTTTAACATTTTTAACATTTCATGGCATAGTTTCTTAATTTTCCCCTGGTGTTTTTTTATATTTTTTGTTAGATATATTTCTATTATTTGACCATTTGTATGCTATTATACATTTTTGATAAATTAGTGCTCTGTTGGTTATATGTTGGAGAAATGTGCTTGCCTTTTGCATACTGATTTTGTATCCAGAAATCTTGTTAAACTCTCTTACTAATTAAAAAAAGATGTATTTGAAGATTCTTTTGAAAACACTTTATATCATTGTAAAAAGTACAAATAACAGTTTTGTTTCTTCCTTCCTAATCCTTTTATTCTTGCCTTTTTATTCTTGCCTTACTACCCTTCTAAGACCTCAGTACAATCATGAATTGAAGAAATGGCTGGGCACAGTGACTCACACCAGTAATCCCAGCACTTTGGGAGGCTGAGGTGGGTGGATCACCTGAGGTCAGGAGTTCGAGACCAGTCTGGCCAACATGGTGAAACCCCATCTCTACTAAAAATACAAAAATTAGCTGTGCATGGTGGTGTGTGCCTGTAGTCCGAGCTACTTGGGAGGCTGAGGCAGGAGAATCACTTGAACCTGGGAGCCAGAGGTTGCACTGAGCTGAGATTATGCCACTGCCCTCCAGCCTGGGCAACAGAGTGAGACTTTGTCTCAAAAAAACAAAACAAAACAATGACAGTGGACAGATTGTCTTTTGCAGCTCTATGGAAGAGCGTCCACATTTGATAATGAGGTATCATGTTTACTCTAGGTTTTTGGTAGATACTCTCTATCAGATTAAAGAAGTTCCTTTCTATTCCCAGTTTGCTGAGTGTCTCCTTTATTTTTAGTTATAAATGGAAGTACAGTTTTAACAGATGCTTGTTCTGCATCTGCCCAGATGGTCACATGATTTTTCTTTTTCAATCTGT